TTGTGGAGAGCCATGATCAACCACGTTTATAGAAGAAATTCTTGTTTTTTTTTTGTTTTTTGTTTTTTATTTTTTTTTTTTTTTGGTTTCCTGGATGTTTTAGTCATATATGATTGTAAATTGTTGTTTCCGATGTAGGAAAGTTTATCGTAGAGAAAGCAAATTAAAAACAAATAGAATAGTTTATCTATTTAGTCTTGAGAATTTTCTCCCTTGTTTGTCTTATCGCCGTCTCTCAGTATTCCACATTCACGATATTCTACGATTTATATTGACTAATATTCTCATTCATTTCTGGTTTCGGATTAAAAAAAATAGCTATAATGAAAATACAAATTGAGACACAATGTTTAATCTAACGCAATTCTAGAAAAAACTGAAAAATATAGTAAACAAGACGTAATGATTATAAAAAAAATCAGCAACAAACGTGAGAGTTCCTCCGAACAATATTTGCACTATCTGCATGCAGTTTATTTTCCACGCCTTTGTTATTCTTATCACAACGTTTCGGTCGCCGTAACTTCCTGCCTTCATCAGGTGTATGTCGATTTGAGTAACCTACAGTAACTTATTTAATCTACGGGGTTAGACTCTTCTCGTTACTCTACTCGTGTTAAGGGATATCTCCTCAAGTTGTTATTTTTAGTAGTGCACGCCCTGTTTCCGCTGCGTTCAAATACACACTGCCCGACCCAGGGATTGAATTCACAAATTGAACTGAATTGATATGTCAGCAAATTTACAAAACTAGATAAGATATTCCTATACAGTCTACCCAAGCAGATTAAATTAACGGCTCAGTTCGGAATTCACTGTAGGTTATCCGGATCGACATACACATAATGAAGGTCGGAGAGCCCAACGGTCGAAAATTTGATGACAACAACAAACATGAGGACAATAGTCCACATGTAAATAGTGTAAATAATAACTCATCATTCCAGAAATTAGTCCGAACATCTGAGAATTCAACCAAGAGAGCCACTCAATGTAGAGAGTTAATGATGAATGGGGTATGTGGTAGGAAATGAAAGTTATAAGGATATGGGAGATAATTAACGATTGAAACTTGAAGTGGTCAAGATTGAAATGCTGAAATATTATCTCGTTAATGACAGTTTCAATGATCTTTTAGTTATCAACCGGGCATGTAATAATCCAACGAAAAACTTTAAACTTTCTTCTTATATATATATATATATATATATATATATATATATATATATATATAGAGAGAGAGAGAGAGAGAGAGAGAGCGAGAGAGAGAGAGAGAGAGAGAGTGTCCCAAATTAATGTATAAACTCTTTGAATCGTTATAATTTATTCAATTTATGTATTTTGACTTGTAAATGAGATTAATACAAAAGAATACACATTTAAAGAATTTGAGAGTAAAATCTAAAAAAAAAACATAGAAAATTAACTTTAATAAGATAAAAGCTACTTTGGGCAATGGCAGAATGTTCCTATAATGATGAGTACACATCAAGTGCTCAAATTGGTTGCTGTTCTGTTCAATACACTTTTCATATCTTGAAGAAATAGACCTACAAACGTCCAGTATCATTTCCTCTGGTATCCGAGCACATTCTTCTTCAATTGCAACTGTTTCAGGTTTCCTGTTGTAAACTTTGTCTTTTAGAAACCCCCCACAAAAAGAAATCCAAGGGTGTCAAATCTGGTGATCTAGGTGGGTCCCTCTTCTTCTCTTTTGCATATTTTCATCCATATAAGTTCTCGCATCACGGTAATGTATTATTAACTATTAATATTTAAAGAGTGCATACATTATTTTGGGACACCCTGTATATATATATATATATAATATAATATATTTTGAGGTTGTTTAATGTATAATATAAATCTTACAGGATATAAAATCGGAGTGAATTCATAAGTACACATATTTAACGCTTTTGCCAAAGAGCAGACATTAGTTCGGTTTGCAATATTCGTCCATCGGTTGATACTGGTATGGCTTACACTTTCCTGTAATACAGGTCCAGTTAACACATTCGTTAAAATCCAGACAGAGGTCCGGTTTTTACTTTCGACAAATCCAGACACAGGTCCGGTTTACACTTTTTGCCAAATCCAGACAGAGGTCCGGTTTACACTTTTTGCCAAAAGACAAACGCAGATCCGGTTTATACTTTCGTCAAAAGGGAGACCGGGTTCCGGTTTACACTAGAGTCAGCAAGCATCCACCCGGAAGTTGGTCTCTTTTGTCAGGAATAGGATGGGCTCTTATGCCTGCTGCATGAGATACAGTCGGCGTATTCTAAACCCCACAGACAGGGCCAGATTATAGTTCGTTTAGCTTCGATCTACTGGTCTCAGCCTCGGGAACAATGCTATATATATGCAAATAACTTTTGGACACGGATTACGAAGATGAAATCCAGAAACGGTTTGGGACGTTGATTATTGAGTGAATAGATAAATCGTGTGTCAAAAGATCCAAATATCACTTTATAATTTAAGCGTATCACGTGCAGTCGAAAAATCAGATTACATAAGGTTTGGTTTTGTTGTTTTGTTTTTTTTTTTTTTCGTATATTAATCTGGCAGAAGCTTATCATATCCTTTGGTTTTTGGTATATAAAGTTTCTCCACGCGCTCTTGCCAACAATGACCAAGAAATATCTATCTTTCTATCTATTTATACATACATACTCCGGAATCTTCAAGGTTATTATTTCATGAATTATTCGGACCTGCGTTGCACTCTTTCGTTTCTGTCAGAACGTAGACTAGTGGCGGAACCAGTCGGAACTTAATGATCGAAATAAGTATGAAAATCAATTCGTAAAAGAATGACAGACCATTATTTCAAAACAATAAGAGGAAGTCTACACGGCGCACATCAACCGAAATATTACTCTCCCCCCCCCCAGCAAAAAATATCTTTATTGAGGATACTCGTTCAAATAAATCCGCGACTGAACCGTGGTATCTTTATCTTTTGTTTGTTTTCATCTTTCTGAAACGTTGCCACGCCCTTATATGAAATGAAAAGAAATGATTAAATAAAAATATAATATTCTTTTTTATGCGGCCCCAACAGGGATCGGATTTGCTAGCCTGTAGCTTTGGAAGTGAGCACACAGTCTATTCATCAAAGAACAGGATTACAATTTAATAATGTTCCAAAAGGATAACCTTAATCTTCAATAGTTTCTATAGTTTCCAGGGTTTTTTTTTAATTCATATAAATAATGAATGAATCAGGAAATATCACTTCAAGCTATTGATTTCAATAATCTGAATGTTAAGGATTTACACTGATACCTTAGAACTTATCTAAAAATCACACTTCTTGAGAATTGTTTAAAACCTTCCCTCTGATTTATTTGATACTCACAGATGCAAAATATGACTCACGGCCTCTCATATTGTGGAAGAGAAGAAGGATAGTCTCACTAAAAACGGAATTGTCAAAAATATTCTTATTCCGGTTGGGTCTCCTCATATTGACATCGCACTTATCCCCTTGGACAAATTTTCAATACACCATGCTATCGCCAGATATCTTGATAGAATATCTCGTTACTGGTATGTTACAATGATTGATTAACAAGTGTGTATATGATCACTTTTTGAGAACATGTGATCGTGTCCCTCAGTCACTGACTAGTTAGCTTGGTTCGACTGTTCGTTTTTTAGTCGGTGTTAAAAAAGCTGAGAAAGGTCTGGTCTACATTCAATAATAAAAACAAAGCCTGAAACGTTATCGCATGGGGAGAAAAGCTTTTCAAAATGACAGATATCGCCTTAGTGAAAAAAAAACCCCAAAAACAACAATGTCTTTTGCAATTGATAAACAAGGTTCTTTGTTCATAGGCTGTCTGGGAATGTGTAAACTATAATTGGTACATCTCTGGCTGCTCCTTCTCTCTTGTCCCACGATCGACTAACTGAACAGATCTTCCTTTCGACCAGCGACAATTCAGTCTTCGTCTGGATCTTCATCTCTAATTGTAACTCTACCCGACTGTGATTTTGATTTTCACTGTTCTTATATGGAATGCAGACTGACTAGATATGCTTATGGCCGAAATACCTTACCTTCCGCCCGAGTTTCACTTGATCTAGAAATTTTTTTTATTTACACCCTTCATTTCTTTTTCCCTAGTTATGGATACTAAATGGTTCCTTTGAAACTCTCACATCCCGATTTTCGTGGTGACAGTCGGTAGTCATAAAATCACGGTTTCTCACGGTTCAGATAAAATCGATTACAATTGGCTATACGGATGCCATAACCAATTTAGCGGGTGACCATTTAATTTATTATTTCTGCTTACAGAATGGTTGCTATGAAACTCTCACATCTTGATTTTAGTGGTGGCACAGTCGGTAGTCATAAAATCGCGTGTTCTCCCGGTTCACATATAATAATTTACAGACCAATTGACTACATAGACGCCTTAAACAATCTAACCTGGGACAATTTCATAACAACTAATGTAAAACATTCTTCTATAACTTTCTAACATGCCCAGGCAGTAGCTACTGAAAGATGACGCTCTCCATGACAGTGACAACTGGTTTCCTCTCTATTGCAGATATCAGAATGAACATCTGAATCTACAAGACTTTGCGTCATGTGGTTGAACTTTCAGGTGGAGGCTATTCCTAGTTCTCATGTTACATTTTTTTCTTATTAAAGGCAAAGCAAAGCTAGTTGACCAATTTTGTTTCTCTTCTTGATCGCTTGGTAATTATCAGGTGCTGTAAGTTTGGAAGTGCGGGTGGTGTAATGTATAATGGCTCGGAATTGTTAATCGGAGAGCCGAGTTCCATTTCCAGTTGGGCTCGTTATATTCACTTACACACAAATACCATTGGCAAAGGTATGAATCCACCTCAGCTATGAGTTTATTAGCAAGACTTGTATCGTTAAATCTTTATCTCCCAAAATATTCTTACAATCTAAGAATATTTTCTGGCTTTAAATAACCTGCAAAGTTTAATGTACGAATTAGGACTCTATCACGTTGAAACACAGGTTCTCGTATGATCAGCGAAGTTAAGCAACATTGAGCCTGGTCAGTACCTAGATGGATGACTGCATGGGTATACAAAGTGCTGTAAACATGGATGTATGGGCGGTATGGATTATGACCCTATCACGTTGAAACCTCGGTTCTCCTACAATCAGCGAGATTAAGCAACGTTGAGCCTGATCAGTACCTAGATGGGTGACCGCTTGGGAATATCAGGTGCTCTCGGCTTGGATGTGTAAGCGATATGGACTATGGTCATATTGTGTTGAAACACCGGATCAGCGAGGTTAGCAACATCGAGCCTGGACAGTACCTAGGTTACCGCTTGGTAACTATCAGGTGCTGTAAGTTTGGATGTGCGGGTGATGTAATCGATAATGGCTCGGAATTGGTTAATCGGAGAGCCGAGTTCCATTTCCAGTTGGGTTCGTTATATTCACTTACACACAAATACTATTAGGAAAGGTATGAATCCACCACTTTTCCCCTAGATGTGGGTTAATTAATAAAATTTGCATCACTAAATCATTATTATCTCCAAAAGAAATTCTAACAATCTAAAAATATTTTCTGTCCTTAAATAACAAAGGGTTGATAAGTCGTAAAAAACGAATTAATCAATCTTCTTGTAACGCTGATATTTTGAAAGTATTAACACAACTTGGTGAAAGAGACTAGAATCAGGAATTCGGTTCATGGTTTGTAATTTTTTTCTTCTTGTCGGTTTGACGTTTACAAATGTAATGTAACCACTATTAAAAATTATTTCGAGTGTAAATCGAATATTTTTAACCGAGGAGTTATATGTAAATTTGGCAGCATAATAATTATGAGTTCAATCTTTGGGTCATGTAGTCCTGAGTAGTACGATAAAGTACATCCGGTAGTAAAGCCTCTGATTGGGAGACTGAATGTTCTCTTAATTGCTGTTGTTCCCAGGTCCACCCTGACCCGGGGCAGTAGCACCTGTTATGGCCCAGCTATGAGCCAATAGAGAACACCCTGACCCGGGGTAGTAGCACCTGTTAGGGCCCAGCTATGAGCCAATAGAGAACACCCTGACCTGGGGGTAGTAGCACCTGTTAGGGCCCAGCTATGAGGCAATAGAGAACACCCTGACCCGGGGTATTAGCACCTGTTATGGCCCAGCTATGAGCCAATAGAGAACACCCTGACCCGGGGTAGTAGTACCTGTTAGGGCACAGCTATGAGGCAATAGAGAGCACCCTGACCCGGGGTAGTAGCACCTGTTATGGCCCAGCTATGAGCCAATAGAGAACACCCTGACCCGGGGTAGTAGCACCTGTTAGGGCCCAGCTATGAGCCAATAGAGAACACCCTGACCCGGGGTAGTAGCACCTGTTAGGGCCCAGCTATGAGGCAATAGAGAGCACCCTGACCCGGGGTAGTAGCACCTGTTATGGCCCAGCTATGAGCCAATAGAGAACACCTGACCCGGGGTAGTAGCACCTGTTGGGGCCCAGCTATGAGCCAATAGAGAGCACCCTGACCCGGGGTAGTAGCACCTGTTAGGGCCCAGCTATGAGGCAATAGAGGACACCCTGACCCGGGGTAGTAGCACCTGTTATGGCCCAGCTATGAGCCAATAGAGAACACCCTGACCCGGGGTAGTACCACCTGTTAGGGCCCAGCTATGAGCCAATAGAGAGCACCCTGACCCGGGGTAGTAGCACCTGTTAGGGCCCAGCTATGAGGCAATAGAGAGCACCCTGACCCGGGGTAGTAGCACCTGTTAGGGCCCAGCTATGAGCCAATAGAGAGCACCCTGACCCGGGGTAGTAGCACCTGTTATGGCCCAGCTATGAGCCAATATAGAGCACCCTGACACGGGGTAGTAGCACCTGTTAGAGCCCAGCTATGAGCCAATAGAGCACCCTGACCCGGGGTAGTAACACCTGTTGGGGCCCAGCTATGAGCCAATAGAGAGCACCCTGACCTGGGGTAGTAGCACCTGTTAGGGCCCAGCTATGAGCCAATAGAGCACCCTGACCCGGGGTAGTAGCACCTGTTAGGGGCCCAGCTATGAGCCAATAGAGAGCACCCTGACCGGGGTAGTAGCACCTGTTATGGCCCAGCTATGAGCCAATATAGAGCACCCTGACCCGGGGTAGTAGCACCTGTTAGAGCCCAGCTATGAGCCAATAGAGAGCACCCTGACCCGGGGTAGTAGCACCTGTTAGGGCCAGCTATGAGCCAATAGAGAGCACCCTGACCCGGGGTAGTAGCACCTGTTAGAGCCCAGCTATGAGCCAATAGAGAGCACCCTGACCCGGGGTAGTAGCACCTGTTAGGGCCCAGCTATGAGCCAATAGAGAGCACCCTGACCCGGGGTAGTAGCACCTGTTAGGGCCCAGCTATGAGCCAATAGAGAGCACCCTGACCCGGGGTAGTAGCACCTGTTAGGGCCCAGCTATGAGCCAATAGAGAGCACCCTGACCCGGGGTAGTAGCACCTGTTATGGCCCAGCTATGAGCCAATATAGAGCACCCTGACCCGGGGTAGTAGCACCTGTTAGAGCCCAGCTATGAGCCAATAGAGAGCACCCTGACCCGGGGTAGTAGCACCTGTTAGGGCCCAGCTATGAGCCAATATAGAGCACCCTGACCCAGGGTAGTAGCACCTGTTAGGGCCCAGCTATGAGCCAATAGAGAGCACCCTGACCCGGCGTAGTAGCACCTGTTGGGGCCCAGCTATGAGCCAATAGAGAGCACCCTGACCCGGGGTAGTAGCACCTGTTGGGGGCCCAGCTATGAGCCAATAGAGCACCCTGACCCGGGGTAGTAGCACCTGTTAGGGCCCAGCTATGAGCCAATAGAGAGCACCCTGACCCGGGGTAGTAGCACCTGTTAGGGCCCAGCTATGAGCCAATAGAGAGCACCCTGACCCGGCGTAGTAGCACCTGTTAGGGCCCAGCTATGAGCCAATAGAGAGCACCCTGACCCGGGGTAGTAGCACCTGTTAGGGCCCAGCTATGAGCCAATAGAGCACCCCTGACCCGGGGTAGTAGCACCTGTTATGGCCCAGCTATGAGCCAATATAGAGCACCCTGACCCGGGGTAGTAGCACCTGTTAGAGCCCAGCTATGAGCCAATAGAGAGCACCCTGACCCGGGGTAGTAGCACCTGTTAGGGCACAGCTATGAGCCAATATAGAGCACCCTGACCCGGGGTAGTAGCACCTGTTAGGGCCCAGCTATGAGCCAATAGAGAGCACCCTGACCCGGGGTAGTAGCACCTGTTAGGGCCCAGCTATGAGCCAATAGAGAGCACCCTGACCCGGGGTAGTAGCACCTGTTAGGGCCCAGCTATGAGCCAATAGAGCACCCTGACCCGGGGTAGTAGCACCTGTTAGGGCCCAGCTATGAGCCAATAGAGAACATCCAAACAAATGTCAAAACACAAGGAGAATATAAAAGTACCTTTTTATCATAAAAGTACCAACAATACATTTTTATAAAAAAAAAAATTACCAACAATACATTTTATAGTAAAGTGACCAACAACAATGACCAAATGATAATCAATACAACACTAAAAAAACGGATAATTTTGTACTAAAATTACCAGTAATACATTTTATAAAGAAATTAACAACAATAATTTTTTTGTAAAGAAATTACCAAAAATGCATTTTATAGAAAAATGATAATCGTTAAAAGACTAAAAAAAACGTATGAAAATACATTTTGTTGCAAAATTACCAGTAATACATTTTTTATTAAAAAAAAAACATTACCAACAATATATTTTTGTACGGAAATTACCAGCAATAGATTTTTAAGTTACCAACAATACATCTTATTCATCTATAAGCTATATATCTAAAAAAAAATATATACATTTACCTTGAAGGTACAAAATGATGTGCAAAATATCTGTAGTTGAAGGCATAAAAATGCGTTCAAAATATCTGTAGCTGAAGCCATAAAATTGCTTACAAAATATTTAGATTTAGGCATTAAATAACCCGTAGAAGTTGATATACCGCTAAGCAAAATCAACCAATCTTATATCGGGTAGTAAAGACTGAGACAGTGAAAACAGTGCTAGTATACTAGCAGTACTAAAAAAGACATGATATACTTTTAGACATAGACAACGGAACGGCAACCCTACACCCTCGAAGATTAATGGTTTAATTAGGAAATTCCCTGAAAGTAATCCGAATCGAAAAGCACCTGACGAAAGCTACAAGTTAAATCTGCCGAAACGTTGATAAGATAAGGACATTACTCCGAATGTAAATAAATTATTAATTTATTATATTATTCGAGTAGAGGTTGGTTTGGCGCAACAAATTAGGATACCAACGCATCATATTTGATGGCATCTACATATAAAATTATGACTTCTATTTCGTCCGCCCTCACACCCTCTAAAATAATCATACATTGACGATCAAAACCAAATTTTGGAGAGAAGTACAAACAGGTAAGGCGATACAAAGTTGGTTTTACTAGGGTGCGTACCTTAGTACAATAACTTTTCATTCATTTTATGAGAAAAATTAATTTGTTTTTTATTATTTAACGTATAAAATAATCCCACTATTTTAAAAACAATTTAATGATTAAAATAAAAATATTTATTTAATAAAAATGCAATATTGTCTTGGGAACGTTTCTTTGAGTTTTTATATACAAGAATCCAGTTTCTATTTCACCCTATGTATGCGAAAACTATAAACAAATCACAAGGCCAAAAGCTTCAAAAAGGTTGAATTTGGCTCCAGAAAGAAATATTTATTTATGGCCAGTTGTATGTTGCATACTCAAGAGTAAGAAATTAAAAAAATTTATTCTTCGCTGTTAAAAAGAAAAAAGAATTTCTTTTTTTTCCCTATTTCCTTATTGTTTACCCTGAAGTCCTATAAAGTTAAATTAAAGAACTTATTAAATCGTAATGTAGAGATTTTGTCAAATCAGCTTATTTAAATTTCATCGATTGGTGTGCGAAATTAAACGATTCGAAGTGTTTGCAAATCTCTACAAAATAAAGTTAGCAATAAATTCAACAATACTGAATGCTGTGCAGAATTTCAACAGTGTATTGGCAAAAATTCTTGTAT